TTCAACAATTTTGGAACGAATTTTGCTGCCACACGTTTCATACCCAAAACATTCGAAAAAATTTGATGGCATGAGCCAACTGATATGCCAACATCATCAGCGACTTCTCTGATTGTGATTCGGCGATCGTTCATAACCATTTCTTTCACTTTTTTCACGTTTTCATCGGTTGTTGATGTGCTTGGGCGTCCGGGTCGTTCGTCATCTTCAACGTTTTCGTGGCCATCTTGGAAACGCTTATACCACTCATAAATCCTTGCTTTACTCATAGCAGACTCACTATATGCCTTTGTTAACATTTGACAAACTTTACTACACTTTATTTCATTTTTTACGCAAAATTTAATACAAATTCTTTGATCCATTTTTATTCACAAACGAAAATCGCCGAGCTCGAAAAACACGTCTAACGTTAGCGGCTGCCACTTAAAAAGTAAGCAATGAATATTGCTGAAAATTTTATCGTACTTCAGGGGCATGTGTACCAACATAATAAAAAAAAATTTTATACAAGCGGACTCTCCAAACCCGCGAAATTAAAAAATTCTCGTTACTTTTTGAACACACCTCGTAGAATAAGAAATAATAGGAAAAATTTATTTTAGCAATATACAATATACTGCCAATAATATGAATGTTAAACATTCAAGTCTAATCCATCTTAGAAAATTACAGAGCAACTGTATCAGCTTCAAGTTCTACTTTTCTAGAGAGAGAGAGAGAGAGAGAGAGAGAGAGAGAGAGACAGACAGAGAGAGACAGAGAAAAAGAACTAAGCAGCGAGTAAGTACTTATAAACTTTTCATACACGCACTGTCTATCACTGGAAACAGTCACTGCTATCCTCTGTCATAGAGAATAAAATTGCCAAAAAAGTTGAAAATACTACAACGCTTTTTTAGAGTTATCTGACCCAAAAATTAGGAAGCACGAGCAACGACTGGAATATATACGTGTACCCGGTGCTATAACCGTAGGTCTCCATAGCTATAATTATATCAGTCAATTGCTTTACTTGTAGGAGAAGTCTTTCTCTATTCTTCTTCGCCTGTCCGCATCAACACACACTCGATCTTTCACTGACCTACCGTGCGTTTCTCTCTTTCTGTCTCTCTCTCTCTTTTCCTCTATCTGACTATTTTTCTCTAGTTTTGTAGTGCTGGAAGAATACTCTTGCTATCCTTTTTTCTATGCGCATTGTATTCGAAAAGCGTTCTCTCTCTCTCTCTCTCTCTCTCTCTCTCTCTCTCTCTCTCTCTCTCTCTCTCTCTCTCTCTCTCTCTCTCTCTCCTTCTTTCACTTACGTTAGTACTATAACGATTTATGTGAGGAAACTGAATTATAAAAGATTTACATATGAACATTATTTAACTTCTAAAAAAATCAAATTTATGTGTGCGTTTGCAAGAAATAAAAACTTGCATCGATTTATGTTGGAAAAGAAACACAATGTACCAATCACGCAATACTTTCAAAATGATAATATTTCCGAATCATGAAGATGATATGCTTAATATAAATACTATATAAATCCCTGCATACGCATTTACAGGTAGTTCGAATTCAGAGCTCCATTTACACGCCAGTTCGATAATTAGGCGCTTGTACTTTTACTGTTACTTTCTATTTTATTTATTCAATTCTTTATTGTAAACGCATGACCTGAGCTTTATATATCTCCATTGTTGGTCTTCCATGAAACAGTTTACAGAAACAATCTACATTTTCTCTAAATTAACTAAACAACAGTTGTTACCAACATCTTCATAAGTTAAACGTAAAGTGAGCCTTATCCACTAGATTCGAATTAGTTTGTCTAGATTATTATTAACTTAATAACTCGAATGTAATACTAAATAATAAATAGGGAAGCATATCAAGTGATCCCCATCTTGTTATAATTTCCATTATAATTACTGTATTATCGTATATATGAGCACGTAGAGAATAAGTCTTGAGAAAACTGTAAAAAAAAGGATATAATCATTTAACTTACATGATTTTCGCAATATTGCATTAACCTGTTAACCGAGTGGGACGTATTAATACGTCAAAAGTAAACAATACCGAGTACGGGTAGGACATATGAATACGTCCTCGATATTTATATTGCGCCCTAGAACAGGCGGGACGTATATTTTACTACTACTATGGTAATACGTCATTCATACACGTCTTGGAAAAGGACGCGCCCGTTATATGTTGCGTAATTAGAAAGGGATTTCCTCGGTTAACAGGTTAATTAAGTTTAAATCTTTTTGAATAAATACCATAATCCAGACTTTCGACACCTCGATTAGAAACATCAATATGTGGCGCGATAAAATAGAAGAATAATAGAAATGCTTTTGCTAGCACCCGAAATGGCCATATTAATGTATTTATATTCATATCTACTCACATACGAGGTGTGATCAAAAAGTAAGGTGAATTTTTATTTTTCTCAAAAAATATTTATTTATTCATCAATTTTTATTTTATCTCCTTCAAAGTAATCCCCCTCGGATATAATGCACTTGTGCCAACGCTTTTTCCAATCCTCAAAGCATTTCAAAAAATCATTTTTTGTGATCTTGTTTAGTTCATCCTTCGATGCCGTCTTTATCTCCTCAATCGTGGCAAAACGCCGTCCTTTCATGAGCCTCTTCAGTTTTGGGAACAAGAAGAAGTCACAGGGGGCCAGATCTGGGGAATACGGTGCCTGTGGCATCGTTACTGTGTTGGTTTTAGCCACAAATTCACGCACAAGCAACGATGTGTGAGCAGGGGCGTTATCATGGTGCAAAAGCCAATTTTTATTTTTCCACAAATTCGGACGTTTCTGGCGGATTGCTTCGCGCAAATTGCGCATAACTTGCAGGTAATATTCCTTATTTACTGTTCTACCCTGTGGCAAGAACTCATGATGCACCACGCCCCTGCAGTCAAAGAAAACTGTAAGCAAAACCTTTACATTTGATCGAATTTGGCGTGCTTTTTTTGGTCTTGGTGATCCAGAATGCCTCCACTGGGACGATTGAGTCTTAGTCTCGACGTCATAACCGTATACCCATGTTTCGTCACCTGTTATAACCCTGTTGAGTAAATCTGGATCATCGTTGACGTCATTCAGTAGCTCTTGGGCGATGCTCATGCGACGTTTCTTTTGGTCGAAATTGAGCAATTTTGGAACAAACTTCGCTGACACACGTCTCATGTCTAAAACACTCGTCAAAATTAATTGGCACGAACCAAATGAGATGCCAATATCATCAGCAATTTCTCTAATGGTAATTCTACGATTTCCCAACACTATTTTCTTCACTTCTTCAACATTCTCATCAGTTGTTGATGTGCTGGGGCGTCCAGAACGAGGTTCGTCGTCGGTGTCTTCTCGGCCTTCTTGGAAGAGTTTATACCACTTGTAAACATTTTTTTGGCTTAAAGTAGACTCACCGTATGCCACTTTCAGCATTTCAAGTGTTTTGGAACATTTGATTCCATTTTTCACACAAAATTTAATGCAAACTCTTTGATCCATGTTTTTAGACAGCAGCAAATCGTGGAGCACGCAAAACACTTCTAACCTTGATGCCTCTCACAAACAAACCAAACATACTACAAAGCTGAAATTTGGAACGTATGTTCTAGTCGAGTGTACCGACATAACCAAATAAAAAAGTCGAAGATCGATCGGACGTAGCCCGCTAAATTTCAAAATTCACCTTACTTTTTGATCACACCTCGTATAACTTACGACCGCGACTCCTAATCTACTGCTCTGGTTATTTAAGCTCTGGTATATTGACTTTTGTTTTGTAAACTCGGTGCAAGATCTAATTATTGTAATATGTTATTCTTATTGTTGTATTGAAAAAGAAACATTTTATCTTCCTTATATTGACATTAAAATAGAGTTACCAATTTAAGTTAGTGTCATTATTATTTACGCATATCTTCTTTCCTTTGAATTTACCCGCCATTATATCACTCATCGAGGAAGTAACCTGCTCTTATCACTATACTTATCACCCATTGTATTAATTAAGGTAAACTTAAGTATATTATATCGGTTATTTTTTTAACTGCATTAATTAAATAGCACATGGTGCGACATTAACCATTGCCTCGATTTGCTGCTTAATTTTGAAAATGCTGCTGTGTATATGCTTGTCCTTGGCTGAAAACGTGCACGAATATATAAATAAAGTAAGGGATCAACTTGAAATATTCAGGTTATTACTGCATACGAAGACAGGACAAAGATCAATGACGGATAAATGTAGTGAGTGTGATATTTAAAAAACAAATTGGTTTATTGCGTTTTTTAGCAATAAATATATCGTTTTGATCAAAAAATTTTCATTGCTCACTGAAATGTTAACAAACGATTGCACTTACCGAATTCTTTTAAGAAAGGGGATAAAGCGAAAAGAGAGAGACCACTGATCGCATATTAAGATTCTAATTTGATCTTTGTACCTAAGTACCTTTGGTGTTGACATTACAGTAACAGTAAAGGTAGTGAAACTCATGCGCACAAATGATTTCTGTTGCGAGACCCTCGTATGTTTATCAACAGATTACGCTACATTTTTATACTGAAATATCATTTGAGCTTGGTATCGCATCATAACATTTTTTTATAATAATATCTTAATTTTTCATTAACCAATTTATACAGTGACATTTATAGACAATCACCCATGCACTCAATTCTTCAAATTTATTAACTTATTATTTTGATTTTCACACAATTAGCTCTTGTACAAAAAAACTTAGTATATAACCAGATATTGCATTTAATGAAAATATATTTTTAATACAATCAGAATATTATTAATAATAAGTTCTGAATTTGCATATAATACTTTTGAGATAACACATTTTTTAGAAGTCTTTTTTGAAGGATATTAGAAATGTACTAACAAAGTGACGTCTAGCGTTAACCTGAATAAAAATTTCTTATATTCGATAAAGGTTATAATAAAAAAAAAATAAATTCAATAATAATAGACCATTTTATTACATAGTAATTTACTATCGGGATACAAAACACAAAGTATTTACAAAAATATGAATAAATTATTCATTGTATGAAATATTTGAAACGATACAACTATAATTGTGATTGAATTTTTTCAACAGATTTTACTTGTAATGATAAATGTTGCATATAGATATGTGTGTGTGTGTATGTGTGTGTATGTGCACGCATGTGCGGGGATAAGAAAAAAACAGGAAAATGGACATTTCTTGAAAGAGTTAAATAAATATCATATTAGAGGTTCTTCGTAGAGCATCACAAAATAAAAATAATAGTTATGATCAATACATTTTAAAAGCATTTGCGATGCACGATTCCAGGACCAGATTCATCATATTCTTGTTTTGAAATCCACATTTGTTGGAAAGTGGATAACGAAGCTAAAATTGAACCACCAATCCAAACTGAATATTTCCTTTCAGGAGGAGCTATGATCTTGATTTTGATAGTTGATGGAGCTAGTGCTGTTATTTCCTTTTGCATTCTATCCGCAATACCTGGGTACATAGTCGTACCTCCGGATAGTACTGTATTGGCATACAAATCTTTGCGAATATCGACATCGCATTTCATAATTGAATTATAAACAGTTTCATGAATTCCGCAAGATTCCATGCCTAAGAATGATGGTTGAAATAAAGCTTCTGGACATCGAAATCTTTCATTTCCAATAGTAATAACTTGACCATCTGGTAATTCATAACTTTTTTCAAGTGAAGTACTTGCGGCTGCTGTTGCCATTTCCTGCTCAAAGTCCAAAGCTACGTAGCAAAGTTTTTCTTTAATATCTCGCACGATTTCTCGTTCAGCTGTTGTTGTGAATGAATAACCTCTTTCAGTCAAAATTTTCATCAAATAGTCAGTTAAGTCGCGACCTGCTAAATCCAAACGAAGAATTGCATGAGGCAAAGCGTATCCTTCGTAAATTGGTACAGTGTGAGAAACTCCATCTCCAGAATCCAGTACAATACCAGTGGTACGACCAGAAGCATACAGAGAAAGAACCGCTTGAATAGCGACATACATAGCTGGGCTATTGAAGGTTTCAAACATGATTTGTGTCATTTTTTCTCGATTAGCTTTAGGATTAAGTGGAGCTTCAGTCAATAAAACAGGGTGCTCCTCAGGAGCTACACGTAATTCATTATAAAATGTATGATGCCAAATCTTTTCCATGTCATCCCAATTAGTGATAATTCCATGTTCGATTGGATATTTCAGTGTTAAAATTCCTCTTTTGCTCTGAGCTTCGTCTCCAACATAACTATCTTTCTGTCCCATGCCCACCATTACACCCTGAAATTGAAAGTATAATTTAAGAAAGTATAAGATCAATGTTTTAATTTAATCGTGTCTAATTGTCTGTTCATATTATTATAGCATATATTCATATTATTCATAGCATTATAAATATGGAGCATCTGTTTGCTGATGTAGTTTGAGATAGTAATGGTAAGTATAAATCAATCCGTTATCAATATGTTGATTGGAAAGTTGTTAAATTTAGTCTTTATTATATTAGCTCGATAACTAGAATGAAATACGTTCTTGAACCGTCACGCATAATTAAATACATGTGTCTATGTTCAAAAGTATATATGTAACAACCAATTTTTTCCTGGCAATAACCCATCCACGAATTTGATAAATACATCTCAGCATCGGTAAAACACATAATTTAATAGTAAATGTTTCTAATGTTAACTTTTCAATTTGAGATTTTAGAAAAATGAATTTTCTTTTTTATTTATTAATTGAATATTATATTATTAATAATAGAATATTATACTGTTTACTACCTTTATTTTATTAAAGAGAGTTTGTTTTAAAATAAACAAAATATTTTATTAATAATACTTTTTTTAAAACAGTAATTTTAAAAATAGAAGGAGATTTTATAATTAAAATCGTTTTAAAAATATGTACATATTCTTATATCTTAAAATAAACACTTGAAATACAAGAATTTATAAAAATAAATTAGAACGATAACAATTATTTGTCTACTGAAAATTTCTATGAAGTTCTACACGATATGAAATTTTATTTTGTGTTTATTTAGTTTTTCAATTGTCCATTTAGCTTTTCAATTATTGTAAAAAAAAATTCACTTTTTACCATGGGCTCTTATGGGAGTTATATCCCTATCAGACTGGAAAAGTATATAAATATGCTTCTATCTATCAAAATACAATCCCATTTTCTCCAAAAACTTCTCGAGACCAGATAACAATCTAAAGTCAGCAGGTTACCGGGCTTGAGGGTTAAGGGAATTGGGTTGAGAGGGTCGGAGGTTAAAAACCAGCAGATTACTGGGTTCCTGGGTCAAGGAAATTGGGTTATGAGAGACTCTTACACCGCTTTAGGTTAAAGTGTTCATCGTTGAACCGACGTCTGCTCAAATGCCTACGGTATCACTGGATATCGGTTAAGTATTTCAAGGTGTCCAGTAATGCTTTGTCCTATAAAAAATACTATTTCAATCATCTACACTAGCTTTATATCTGTAGAAAAAACGTTTCATGTGGATCCGTAATAGGTATTTTCGAATTTTTAGGCTAGATTATCAGGGTATTCTATGGTTATAGTACAGATTTGATATTGGGTATAGCTTCGGTGATCCAAATGACAATAAAATACGTTATATCGATTTTTTTATTGACTCACTCTATTTTCAGGCTTTAACGAATTTAATATAACAGTAACCTTCAAATGACGATATCTTGGACAGAAAAAAAGATATTCCAAACTTAAAAAAAGGATTTTATAGGGGAAGAGTGCTCGTTTCAGATAGCGTACTCAGTTTTTCCAAAAAAAAAAATTATTCAAGATGTTACTGTACTTCAAAAACAGCGAAAAAAAGCATTTTTGCATTTTTAGATTCGGATATTTAAAAAAGTTGATGTGACAGAGTAATTCTAAGGTCAGATTTAAATTCAGCGACTAAAAATCGACCGGAAATAACTATTCTCATCTAATGAGCAAGTTTCACATCGGGCTATGTAATATGCATACATATAAACGTATATATTAATTGTACACTTGTATAATTTATTCAATTGCAAACAATCCAAAAAAGTAAATTGTAATTTTCAAAACTTCTTCCAGTGGAAACAAAAATAAAATATTTATTTAGTTAATTTTACTAAATTATGAATATACAATTTTTATTATTTTTTGTTTTCATTAATAAACAAAATTATCTATTTTCTTATGTGACGGTAAACGTCGAATTAGCGCTAATAGCCTAACCTAGTGGCTGCCTGCGGGGGCAGCACCTACCGGTAGACAAAAAATGTAATCAGGGAATTCGGCACGCGACAAGACGGAACGCGCGCGATTGAAAATGAACCAGTGCAGGATTAACTACCGATACGGAGAGCCGCAAGTGAAGGATCAGCCATCGACACGTTTAGTCCAAGTGCTGAAGCAGCTACCGATACACGAGCCAAAAGTCGAGGAGTAGAACCCGATTGCAGAGCTGCGCTACCTAGACTCTAGACGTTTCCCGAGCTCTCCCGGAGTGCCGAGTCGGAGTTGCGACAGCGGTGCCTTCGCCTACCTGTAAAACGCGTGTGAGAGTGCGCGTGTGAGGAGTTTCGCCAGCGAGGGCGAAACCGAAAACGCGAGCTTCCTCGTAAAAAAGGACAGACTTTCCCGCAACGAGAGTGCGAACCGTTTCTTTCGTTCTTCGTACGACTGCAATAAAAGGTAAGCTGGCCAGCTTAATTTCGCCGTCGCGATATAATTGCTATACGACTGATCCCTCGATTCGACAAAAAGCGTACATGTAACATCTCGGCAAACAAAGAGCGGCGAGCGATCCGACACTGCATGTTGTCGTGCGCGCAGCATGTAAACATAAACACGCGGACCGAATGCGATGTAATATTAAGAGATAATAAAAGTTCTCATATGTGATATTAACAGTATTTTCGAAGTGTTCTTTCCGTGTTTGTAGATAGTTGGTTGACTGATACCCGTTCCCTCCTGGTCTCTAATTTTCGTATTTAACATAGGTAATTACGCGCGCTTCTTGATACGATTACGCGGATAAATTAATTAAACGGAATACACACCCCGTTACTTATTATTATTATTAAAATATGACCTATTATTAAAATATGACCTATTATTAAAATATGACCTATTATTAAAATATGACCTATTATTAAAATATGACCTATTATTAAAATATGACCACTTTGGGCTTATTATTTAATTTCTAAAGAGTCTAGCGAATCTATTGAATATTGTTCGAGATATCACGTTGTAGCAAACAACCACGTTCACTCCTTCTTTACACAGTCTTTAATCGACGCGTTCAGTTGCTCTCTTAACTGTATGTTATATGCAAAAAGTATTCGATTCACTATAAGAGCTATAGTTTAAGGCTTATTTATTAGTGTTTGTAGTCAAACTGTGGCTGCAGTTTAAAATGCAAAACCTTCTGCAACGGCTTTCGACCCAAAGTTCCTCTGACTCACTGCAAAATAATACACGGGTGGCCTGAACGCTCACGAAACCAAATGTTCTGTCCTTTCAGAAATTGTTCCATAGAATGACTCTACGATGTTTTTAAAGCGAAAAATGCAAACAGGAAAATTGTAGATAGTGCCGATTTTTTATATTAAAAATTTTTAAAATATAAAAAAAATTTTGTCTAAACTGCATTTACATTGATATAAAAAAGTATTATAACAAAATGCAAATACACATGCTAAATATGTATACAACATAAATTTACGCATATCTACGTTTTTTGGACCATTCGAAAATGTCATACAGGTAAGCCTTCAGACATCAACTAGTTTTATTTACCTTTCATGCCGGTATAGATTTCCATCGTTCTAAGTAATTCTACTGGACGTATAGTCTATATACATACGCACATTTATCTAATGTAAATACTACTATGCTGAGCTTATAATTATTATATAACATCAAATATTGAGCAGTATAAAAATAGTGCAAATGTGTAGTTGTTACTAGTGTAGTATTGAACGTCTATATATAAAATGCAGTGCACATTTACTAAAGATCATGTAGCTACTCACGATAACAATAGACATAAAACTTGTTTATTACGCCTTGGTAAAAAAAAAACAAATGTTCAAAATTGAGAACTCATTACTAGTGAAATTGAATAGTGCTTTAAGTTCTAAAATTGTTTACGAAGATAATTTACCGTGTGGAGTGTATAGTTCATATAAAAGAAATATTTCTTTTACTACATCGGAAAAGTGCAAGAGAAATGTCAGTATCAAGTGCTGACTTGTCCAAATTTTCAAATAACGCTAGAGCAACAAGATTAAAAGCTTCTATTTTTTAATGTGAATATGTTCCGGCCGGAATGAACGTCGCAAGGCCAGTTTTGGCCAAATTTATTTTGACTCACTGCATAACAGGAAGTCGTGACGTCACTCGAAAAAGGTTTACACCGGTTTCACCTAAGGGTCAACGATTGTCCATTAACTTGTTTTCTGTTTTGCTCCCTGTTTTTTGAATGAATTAACAACACTTTTGTTTTCTTCTTTTGTATTCTTAATTTTGCTACCTGTTACAACTTTCTTGGTGACGTCAGCAAACAGGCCACTACGTTCTCTGCAGGCTTCAAGGGGGTAGGCATTCCTTGGCAAGCATCATGGTGGAGTGGGAGACGGATTCGAGGCGCTCACTAGAGTTGATACGAGAGACAAGCGAGTTGGCGGGTCAGTTCTTTTCCTGCTCACCGGCGGATCGGTCATCTTCACTTCCGGCTCTCGCCTATACCTCCGTGCGGTCTCGCGAGTTTATAAAACGTTCTTTTATTTGATTATACAGTGCGGTGACTTATCTCTCCTTACTATGTAACCGTAAAGGTGAATAAAATAGTTATTTGGAACAACGGTGGTATTCCTCACATCAACGACCCTATCACCCCTCCATCAAACCGGCCCTTCTTAGCGAGCGTGATTTCCTTAGAAGAAGCAACTCGACTAAAATCATCTCGCGAACATTTGGTCCTTCGAGCCGGATAGCGGAGTGAGTTGTGTGTTGTTGTTCGTGTGTTTGTGTGACAAGTGACCCTCACCATTATGGAGGATTCATCGGCCTCGCTGTTGGAGCAGTTGGAGACGGGCATACACATCTCCAACATGATTATAAACACTGACAAAAAAGGTAAGGCTGATCAGACCTTCGAGCATCTCTCCAATAGGTTGCAGCTCCTGGAAAGCTATTGGAAGACGTTCACGGGCAACCACGGCAAGGTCTGCCGAGAGAACGCCGCGCTAGCAGACGACCATCCGTATTTC